AGATTCAAAGAAAAGGGGAGGAATAAAAGAAAAAAGAAAAAGAATAAAATTAGAGACTTGCAGGTGTGTTCAGCAAGGATTTTCAATTAGAACTGGAAAACCAGAGTAAGGGCAGGTATTGGGGAATTTCTATAGATAAAATAGTACATTCGGAAAAACAATTTGAGGCCAAGGAGTTAACATAAAATTATATTCGAAAAATTATGGTAGGTTGTTAATGAGGTTATAATCGGTTTCCCTGGAGGGTTATACCATCATAAAAATATGAACCCTCCAAGAATTCATAAACTCGTAAATATGTGTCGATAAATAAAAAATCCATTACACCGCAAACATTTGTAGCCCTCAAAAATACACTACTTCGTATAACTTTGCTCCCCCCCCCCCAAAAAAAATGTTTATGGTGCAAATTGCGTCATGCAACCTTCTGAACAACCAATATACGTTGCAATAGACTTCCGAATACACACCTACTCCTTCGTTTCTTCTCGCTTTGGTGCCTATCAACTTGCTTCCTCCTTGATCCCTGATAACCCTCCTAGGTATCTCAAAAGAAGATGGCCTCGGGACCTTCTAATATAGAACTTTAATTTGAGTTCTACCAATGGGTAGTTTCTCTTCATGTTATACATGTCATGTTACCAATTTCCCATTCACTTGTATTTTTCATGTAATACAATTGTAAATTTCAATAAAATAAATTTTTAAAAAAAATAGTATTGGTATTGGTTTTAAGTTATAGTAAGTTTTAAGACCCACTGAATAAGATATTTTACCAGTTTTTGCATTTTGAAGTTTTTTTTCAAATCTCAAAACCTTCTGAGCTTTCATTTTATAGAGAATGGAAGAACTATAATATGAAACCTAAAACTTTCTTTTTTCCCTCCTCTTCCTCACCTTTTAGCTACAGCGAAGTTTTTCCCGAGCCAGGAGAGAGGGTGTGGGATTCCTGCCAGAGTTAGCAGTCCTCTGGAAACTGGGATATGAACTCGTAATCTTCTGTCTATCAGGTTGCCGAACAAGCAGTGTTTTGCACATGCATCTGTCTACTGGTCCACCACCGACGACTTTTAAGGATTTCACCAAGAGATTTTTCAACTTAATCCCTTTACAAAAAAATGTATAGATTTGTTTGTTGCGAAACTTTGCTGATTGCAAATTTCCCTCTATAAAACCTATATCTCTGATCAGGGTGGAGACTAGGATTTCTAACAGGAGGGGCAAAGTAAATTTTGCTGAAATTAATTTTACTTTCCTCCTATGCTTCCAATTAAACCAACATTTTATAAGAATATTTTATGTAATATGTGGTCGGCACCATGTTGAAGTAACGGATATGCAATGTTAAAATGGATCAAATTCCTTACTTTGACATGGTACCGAAAATATATCAGAATAAATCTCATTATCACATAATATCTCATTTTATTGGCAGAATTCAGGTCAAAACAAAATTTGAAAAACATATTTTTTTATTTAGGCTAAAAAACAATTTTTCCTGAAGGTTGCTATAATTTAAATCCTGGAAGCTGGAGCAAGTACTCTATTTACCCCTCTCTAGTTCCAGACCTTCCCCTGATTGTATTTTTTTTTTTTTTGGAGCATAATCTTAGCCATTCAATTGCGAGAATAAAACTGTATTTTTCTAAATACAAAAATAAATAATTAAGTCTGGAATTGAAATATTGGGTTAGTTTGTAAATAGAGAACAAAAGATTATTTATGCATTATATAATTTGTAAAATGCAATTATATCTTTCCAAACAAGTTTATTTAAATCACAGTTATTTAATAATACAATTATAAATTTTGTGAATACATTTTAAAAATATACATGCTTTATCACAAATTTAATTCTTAGGAACATTATAACAACACTAATAATTCCATATTTTTATGTATCATAGATTTATAATATTACTGGCACATGTATTATAAATGAAATGCAAACTAGTTTACAAATTTAAAATATCTTTTAGACATGTATAATGTGTAAAGAAAATAAATTTATATTAAAATATTAATTTTCTTTTTTTTTGAAGTATTAATATATTAAAATAATAAATAGAAATTATCACACAGAACAGACTTTCATTTAATATTCTTATAGACTTACAAATTAATTAAGAAAATAAATTTTATAAATAGTTTTTTATTAAATAATATTGGCACAATTCACAATACTGACTCAGAGAAACCTCTAATATATGAATCTCCTCAATGAGAGATCTAATATGGAGTTGAGGGAGAAATTAAGAAGGTGTCGAGACAACATTCAAAGATAAAACTTTTGGAAGCCTGACAACGAAGCAAGGCTTCTGGAGCTAATCGACTTACCATGAACTCATTAGATGCAGAGGAAAGAAGCTATTGGAGAATATAAGATAAGAGCCAGGACGCTCATCTACCCTATATTCAAGAGAGGTGATCCGCTAATGTGATCAACTACGGAGAGATCCTCTTCTTCTCCATTGGATAAAAGGACTTTTCAAACATCCTCTCCAACTGTTTGCTACCCCAAAGGGAGAGTAAACTTGGGCAATACCAGGACAGATCTAGAATAGGAAGGTCTAACATTGATCAAACACTCAGTCTTATTCTTGAACAAGGATGGGAACACAATGTGGGCGGAGTGGGCAAAATGGACTAACACGTGTGCACTGCACCGCCGTTGTCCGGCAACCTGATACATAAAACTTTGATAAAAAAATAATCCTGAGTTGGCGTCCCCGAGGAGTTTTTAAATCCTCGCCCACACTTCCTAGCCCGGGAAAATCCCTCTATAGCCTTAAACGCGAGGAAGGGGAGGACAAAAAAAAAAAAAAAAAAAAGGATGGGAACACAAGATTAAAACTTACCACCTCTTTATCAATTTCAGAGGAGCTTATAGCGTAAATAGAGAAAAATTATATGTGGCACTGGAGAATTTTAAGACCCTCAGTAAGGACCATTCCTGGTCAAAATACTTCCTAACTCGGAGGCTCCACCATCCCCTTACAGCAGATATTGTCCAGTAGTATTATCGTCATCCTCGTCTTCGTTCTCTCCAAATTGAAGAAGTAGGCCCTCCCCTCCACCACCAAGCAGTCTTGGGCACCTTCCGCCATTTTCCCAAAGCCCTTCCTCTCCAGGTGTTTCCACAGCACTTCTTCCAGTTTTTCTGTGCTCGATTCGGAAGACACATTCATTATTTCTAATCAGGGATTCCTTTTCCTGACCAGTTCTGCCGTCAAGCCTTTCTCATCCTATAAGCCTCTTGGTCCCTTTGTCCTTACCACATCAACGTCCATTTCAGCATCTCCTCTTATATCCTCAGGGAGCATCCTCCATATGTCCATCGGGTTCCAGCCTTCTTGCCCCTTGCTGGTAACATATGCCTCTTTGCTTTCATTGCTCATTGAGGGTCCTGCTCCAAGATCAGCTTCTACTTCACCACATCAACAACACCGTTGAGCAGGTCCCTGTGAGTAGGCTGCCAGTCAGCTCCTCGTGGATCTTTCTCTTTCCGCTCCTTGACTGGAGTGGGAGTGATTGCCTGCTTCTTCTTCCTCCTCTTCCGCTTTTTCCTCCTCCTTTGCACCACGGTGAAATCGCCCTCCTCCATGCCCTGATCAGCCATGGCTTGTGATGTTGCCAGCACTCCCGAGGGTATTCTCCTTTGGACTCCCTCAAGAAATTCGTCATCTGTGAAGATCTCTCTTGCCAGTGTTCTTGGGGCATTGTGTTATCCCCTTTCCAATCCCTAAGGAGTCACTCCACTTGCTCTTTCTCCACCTCATGTGCGTCCAGCCTCAAGGCAGTGTCTGTCGCAAGTTCTAAAAAGATGCCCTTATCACTCTGTACAGGCATCACTATTTTATCACCATATCCATATTCAGGGAGTAGGCCTCTAAATTCTGTTTTGCCAGGTGTGAGGCCTCAGATACATGTTCCACCTATTTGCCCTGGGGACATTCTCCAGCGTCCCAGGGAACAGCATCCTCTTGGCCTCTTTAGGTCCCTAGTTCTCCCCTATACCAGTTGCATCGCCCTAGAGTCCCATTGTTTTGTATGCCTCCGTCCTCTCTTTGTATCCGACAGACTCATCAGATACAAACTCAGGATTGGCACATCACTTGACGTGATCTTCCTCTTTTCATGCAGTGCACCAGTTTTGCTTACCCACATTATCTCATCCAATTTGGAAATAGGACTTTGTAGGTGACGAACTTTCACCCATCTTTTAACTAAAAAAATATATATTTTTTTTTAGTCTATTAATAGTCCTACCTCTATGGTGGACACGTGCACGTTTCCTAACCTAGCACCTCGTGGCAACCGCATGGTCTCACTCGCTGCTCGTTCAGTCCTGACCTACTTAGGACCTCATGACAACTACATGTTTCTCCTAACCTCTCAAGGAGGCCATGCGGTCTCTCCTCCTTGTCTGCTAGAGCTGCTGACCTAATTAATGCCCCATGGCGACCAGGTGCTCGCTCTTCTAACCTTATCCACAACGTGGTCTCCTAGCCTTATCTCTCCACATGGTTGCCTAACCACGAGCTCGGCCAACCATTCGATGCCGCTACCACATGCTTTTCTAACCGGTTGCGGTTTCTCTGCCTTGTGATCTCAGCAGTATTCCACCTTTATCCGGCTTTTTCGGCCTAATCCACAAATGTATCACTATAATAATACACATGGACTCTATCGAGTACTACCGCTGTATTTAAACTATTTTCCGGCACTAACGCCCTTTGTTCTCTCTCCCGAGTTACTCACAGTTACTAGAACACATCTTGCTCGGTCAATAGCCAGGGGCCAACTAAAACAAACAGCTAACAACTAAAACAGCTGCAACCAACCACTGAAGGCTATTCCAATATCCAAATTCCAGCACTGCTGTGAGAAATGTAAGAATCATCTCTAGTGCTGGGTGGCTTCCCAAGGTAATTCCTTTAAAGGAAACAACGTGAATTTTAATTTTTATTTCAATAAAATAATTAGTAAAATCAGTTTAATTACTTAATTTACACACCTCGTACATTGGAGGATCATAGAGGAAAACCAGTGTTATTTTTCTATGGAAAGGCAGTTCTGGAGTTCTTTCCAGAATATCAAAGCTATATCTCCATAACAAAAATAGCGTGTTAAATTTTTCTGAATGACTGTTGGATTTAGAGAACTTCCTGGGTCTGTGAGAAGAAACCCCTGATTTTTGAAAGAATCCTCAGATGAATTCATGTTGATGCTTTGGTGAGAGGAGAAACCAGAAGCTGTACAGAATTGCAAGAGACCAAGACAATTGGCGGAAACTAAAGGAAAAGGTTGAGATTCAACTGGAGGGCCACACCTATAATAATAATACCGAATACAGCAATGAATATTAATTTATTTTTCTGTCTCTACTTCTTCTCATCAGAATCTGGGAATATGGTACTTATCTACCTTTAATTATGGGAGTGAAAGGTGGGTTCCTTTAGAAGAACACTTAAGCAGAGTTACTGTTGGTGAAATGAAATACCTTCAAACGGTAGTCTGCTGAACTAAGAGAGTCCGGATCAGGAACAAAAAGATTAAAGGGAACTAGACATTGTCTCACTAAAGAATTTCCCAGAACAGAGGTGATTAAGATGGTTTGTACATTTTTCCCTATTTGTGGATGAATAAAGACCGTGACCCAGTGACCCACAGAGAAGCACCAAAGAGAAAGACGTAGATTATCGAGGACTACTTCTCCAAAATCAGGCAGAAAAGAAGCACACAACTAAAGGACATGAAGGTTCTAGTACGAGACTGCAAAACTTATGATTCATGAATTTGAGGCACTGTAAACACTGAAAAGCCCAAAGGAAGAAAAAGCATATATATTTTTGAGGTTTTTCTACAAATATTTGTGGATTTAAATTGTTGATAGATAAGAATTTATACCTCATAACTGCCAAAAAAAAATAGATTTCATTTGAGATTATTAATATCACGAAACTACAAGTTAAGGACAGATGAGTCCTCGTATTTATAGGTGAAGTCAATGTGTGTGAAAAATATAATGTTATGACAGATAGCATTTGATAAGTAATAAAGTTTTTTTATGATAACTCGTATTAACCGTTTAATAAATTGCTTTGTAAGATTCATCTTCGGGATACCAAGGGACGCCTCTGTTTCCCATTTGTATGCAGAGTTGAAGTGGCTTTACCCTTCCTACCGTCGTAAATATTTCCTGGCATCCTTCCTCTTTCAAGTTATCCAATCACACCGTCCTTCATACATCTCTGAGCTCCTTCAATTCAAATCCTCTGTTCATTCCCGTAATACTCGTTTCCAGTCTTCTGAATTATATATAAGGGCCCACGGAACCGTTGCTTTCAACAGATCTTTCATTATCCGATCCTCATCCCTTTGGAACTCCATCCCTTCTCACATTCGACAATCTAATACCCTTCCTACCTTTAAATCCCGTCTGTTCAATCATTTCTTATCCATCTAGTCCCCATGAAATTGTAAATAGATACTAATGTAAATACATATATAAATTATTAGCTCGTTCTTCATTATTTTTACTTCATTCTTTTTATTTAGTTTGTTAATTTTTAGTTATTAACTGATTAAAATTAGAAAGTAACCTATAATTTTTAATTTTATTATTATGACTGTTTAATTACTCTGTATCTTTATTTATATATCTCTGAGACTCTTTATCCCATATTTATGTCTTCTGTATTATTCTAAAGAGACTCGTCCCAGAATAAATAAATTATTATTATTATTTTTATTATCACTAACAGAGAACAGTCAAGAATGCGAAAATATTATTTTATTTTGAAAAGCCTCCTTGGAGTCAGGAAAATTACACAAATGCTTAAATGATTTCTATATTTTTATTAATTGTTTTTTAAAACTTTTTTGTCTTTATTATAAAGTAGTAAAGTAAAATTTAAGAAAACACAGACGCAGATCGATAGTAAAATAATACTTTTTGCCGATATGAGGTATCACTTCTTAGCTATCGTTATATAAATACGAACAAGGCAAAGATCACAGGATTAAATCCTGACTGCCTACTAGCCAATACAGCAGGCCTCTCTAAGAATTCAGACCCTCCTTAAACATAAACAGTCTTTAAAGAAAACAATTTTAAAAATAATAATACAAACAAGATTAAGCTTAAAGATAGTTTATCAGCTACCTTTTGGATTTGAGAACTTGACGTTACTGACTTAACATAAATGCAATGTTTCTGGAACGCACACAAGATGAGTCTAAATTCTGGTCTGATCTACTAAAATGACATCTTCATCTTCTTCTTGGTTTCTTTTTATTCGATCAACATAAGAGTACCGGTAAGCAAGAGAAATGAAAAACAGCATCACTATTGACATCAATCCGGAATAGAAGAACATCTCATGAGCCTGAAAATTATAGCAATATTTTATTTTCAATGCAATATCAACAGTATAGATTTTATAATTTAAGTATAATGAAAAAAATAAAAGTATTGAACAAGAAAGATTTACCGCATCAGCCATTTTAAATCCAGCGATTATCAAAACAATGATATTTCCAAATGAATCGGTTAATAGCCAAAGAGACGATATCACAGATTTCATACTATTAGGACTCTGAAAAATAAAATATTAACAATTGTATAACACTATTTCACTAACTTTCAATATATCTTTGAAAAAAGTAAACAATATCTATCACAAAGAGAATCAATGATGTTATTTTTGAAGCATTAATATCCATACAAGGCTTGTCACGAGAGTTTATATGAAAGTAAAAAAAAAAGATTATTTTACACTTCACAGGTGATCTAATATTTCTCTACTAAAACATTTCCATTAGAAGATCATGATAAACTTCCACCATCTCTGTTTATTTTCTGGATGTCCCCTTGGAAGTTCTCTTTTGAGCTTTTTGAGCGGCCTAATCATTTCTGTTTTAATGGAGCCTGCACATTACACAAATGCTGTCTTCAAAGTACATCTTGGATTTGGGAGACAAGAAAGTCACATCATGCCTAACCAGGAGAATATGGGGAATGTTCAATCATGGTAATCAAATTTTGTACTGAAAACTGTGATGATGGAGGATACAGCACCCTCTTGAGCCATATTCAGTTGAACCCAAGCCATACAAGCATTGACATGTTTAAGAATGGCAATGCGGAATAAGAACAGCATGAAGGAACGAGTTCTTGGAGGAAAATCCCTTCAAATTGAAAAAAAAAAAATCAGAATTGCATTGTCGTTCAACATTGATTTCCTTAACTATTATTACATTCTCTTTCCAACTTATTTCAATTGTCTGATTTGGGAATTAAGTTCTATTCCTCTAAGAAGTAGAACCAAAACTCATCCGCTGTGAAGAACAGGCTGAGAAAATTGCAAATGTGGAGGCCATCAAAACAGATTAGTCGGTGGTACACACCCATTTTTATTGAATTATTGTCCTACATTTGCCTGAAACTTCATAAATAGCTTTATCTCACAGTAACCTACAAATATTTTATTTTGGAAAATTCTTGGAATCGCACCGTTTCCAATTTGGAGGGGGGCAAACTTTGTCTATTTAATTAGGTACTAAAAACTCTTAAATGCTAATTTGCTTTCTACTTTGATTGTAAGATAATTTGATCACCAAATCGATAAAAATGGTGGTCTGAAAATATATTGGACTGTTTGGTCTATACAATCTCGTTATTTTGAAAATTTGGGAGTGTAGGTCAGGCCAAGCGGCTCAATATTTTTGAATACCACTTTTTTTCTCAATTTTGTGATCAAATTATCTTACAATCCAAGTTGAAAGCAAATGAGTATTTATGAGATTTTAGTATCTAATTAAATATACAAATTTTGCCCCCCTCCAGATTGAAAATGCCCCAATTCCAAGAGTTTTCGTAAATAAAATAGTTGTAGGTTACGATGAGATGAAATTATTTACAAAGTTTCAAGGCAGATGTTAATAATTCGATAAAAAGGGGTCTGGACCACGGACTAGATATGATGAGGCAGCTGAAGAACCTCAAAACAAAGCTCTCAAACCTCAAAGAAGAGGAAACAAGAGATATATATTTTTAAGGGGATTAAAATGAATTACCTGATTAAATATAGATTTATTTCTAAAGGAATGGAAAATAATTATAATAGTCAAAAAGTGTAAGCATGAGTTTTTACAATGAAGTGTATACTATGTATAAAATAAAAGTTATTTCATGAATATTAAACAAACATAAAAACTCTATAGAAATAAATTTTATTACATAATAATTTTTATTTCTATTATTAATATGCATGGGTGACCAATATGAGGAAGTGACAATAACAAGGCTAAGAATTGGCCACATTAAACTAACACAGGAGGAAAACTCCCACCGATGTGTATCAGCTGTCGACAACTGACTGTCAAGCACATATTGACAGACTGTGTACTACACCAGGACATCAGAAGAAGACTTGGAATCAACAGACAGGATCAAAGTACGTAAATAGGAAAAGAATAAATTCAATGATCAAATCATATAATTTGTAAAAGAAATAAAAGTGTTTAAAGAATTGTAAACGTTACAAAGTAATGGTACCTCTAGCCTAATGTAGCGGTACATGGCACCATAATATTAAATATCATGATGTATACATTTTTTAAATTATTTCATTGGGTATTAATAATTGAAAACATTATTTGTATAAAATAATAATTATTTGAGTAAATATTGTTACCTCACTATAAGAAAACTCGAGGCCTGTGATGGCGAACATTATTTCAGCACAAGTAATGACCACATATTGAGGAATTTGCCACAACATACTAATTGCGTTAGGTTTCACTACGGTCAACAGTTTACTAGTCTGAAAAATTACCAAAAATATAAAACATCAATAGATCATAACAAAGTTAAATTATATAGCAAAGATATAACATAATTATTTAATATTGAACTATTTGAATCAGGATTAAAAAATATTTTATTTTTGGTATGAAAAAAAGAAACTTGTACCACTACTACTGAAGAAGAATATTTGACAAAGAATTATAAAATCTTGATTGAATAAAAAATGAGATATGGTCAACATCATGCCCATCGTCCATCATTATTTGGTCAACAACATGCCCGTCATCCATTATTATTTGGTCAACATCATGACCATCACCCATCACTATTTTTGCCTATATACGAAAATTGAAATGACCATTGTTAGAACATTATAGGAAAGTTTCATAAAAATCATTAAAGCCGTTTTCACGCTAGTCTATAGAAAAACATGTTTTTCATTTATTGTGCAGAAGCTATTGCACATGGAGCACCAAATTTCTGTCACAGGCATTAGTAGTCAAATGGCTACAAAATAAACAAAGAAGCAACAAAATCGGTTCAGTAGTTCCTGAGAAAATCTTGGCACTGACAGACAGACAGACCACTGGTTAAAAACGTGTTTTTCGGACTCAGAGGGCTCTGAAACATATAGAGCCGTCGAAAACCGCATATTGGAAATTGGACCCAATCGCAATACTTTTCTTACCTAGTATAGGTAGGAAAGTAAAAACCTAAGTATTTGTATGTACATAAGAGAAAAATTGAGGTGGATTAAGTGCCAAAAAGTTTAAAAGAACTCTAATTATTATCATTTTTTTTTTATTATAGCAGATTGACTCTGAGATAACAGGGTGGCTACCAGAGAGTTAAAGTAAAATTCTCTGACATTTCCCTATTTAATGATAGATTTCCCAGACTAATATGTCTGGCGACACAAACATTAAAAATGCATAATTTATAACTAAATTTATTTATTATACATAAAAGAAAATTGACTACAAAATAATATTATGTTTTAGAGGAAGCATATTTAAGCTTGATTAGAATTTTTTATTTTAGTAATTTATTTTTATCGCTTTTATTTTATTTTCATAAACTGAGAGGTGGTATAAGTTGATACTTGGCATATAAATCTCTGATATTTTCTATTATAAAATGAAGTAAGGTATGGGTGATTTAATATTAATGTAGTTTTTCATAAGTAATTTAGTTTCTTTATGACTATAAACAGCATAATAATTATCCATATTACACCAACTATGACATAACTAATAAATGCTCTTTAAAGGAGCACCACAGGTCAAATGATTAAGTGCTTACCAGCCAGATTTTGACCCAGATGTACATATTACAAATAGTAAATAGTATCGGTATGTTTTCTTTTAAAAAAAAACTGTTTAAGTCCAGTTTGCTTTAATTGTATTCATTACGTTTGTTTCTTTGATTTCAATAAAATGACCAGCGTCGTTATTGACAGTCAAAGGTGGATGAATATAGCGACCATGGTCAGTTATAACGATGAAATGTACCCCTTCTAGATCATTATAAACGTTATCCAATGTATATTTATTTCCAATTTGAAAAAAATATTACGTACTAAAAAAACTCCCTAATTTTTACCATTTTTCCAGGTCGTTCGCCACCCTAGATAAATAGACCCTCCTGGGGCACACCCATGCTCTATAAACTCTTAATAGGGGAAACCTGTTAATTGAGCTTGATTCCAGCCAAATAACCTTGTTCCAGTCAACAACAGTAACCTTTCTGCGTCTAAAAACGGTGAAGTGATACAGACCACTTTTTTCCTAAGGATTCCTTTTCCGGCTCTCAGGAGTGATGTATTTTAATGAATGAGGTATTAAATAAAGAATTTCAAGGAGAAGTGATAAATGCTAATTTCAAAACACAAAGCTTTACCACAGTGATAAATGCTAGTTTGAAAACACAAAGCTTTACCACAACTACAATAAAAGTCATTAAAAAAATTATTAGGTTTCGAAACTCAGTTAAATGTTGGCAGTTCAAGATGGGATGAATTGTTCTAAAGATTTTGAAGAGGAAATCAAGACCCAATACAATTTCGAAGGAAAAACTGTATAATTTATCGTTCTTTAGACAAACAATAATTATTTCCAAAAGCCACTTTGAGGTACTTTGCTCATTTTCATCAAAACCCAAACAAAAATTCTATAAATTCCAAACAAATCTCTAATATATAATTTTTTTGTAATTTATTTTTAGTCCAAATCCAAAAAAAACATCATTCTTCGAAGCCTTTTATGCATATTTCATGTAATGTATGTCAATTCCTGGTATTAGAAAAAATTTATTTATCACAAATAACTATAATTTTCATGATATAATTAATACGTTAGTGTAATAATTTTTCAATGTCAAGATAAAAATGGAACAAAAAAAAAATCAAAGTTACATAATAAGTACCATATTGTGGCAATGCAAGAAAAATAAAGTTATTTGGGATATTTATCAAATCATCACTGGACACTACACCACACTCACTAATACTGCTAGATTTCCATTACTTCTTACAGCCACCAATTTCGGGCCACGATATATATTAAATAAGCGAGAGGAAGGGCCTAAGATGAACTCTCAAGAGCTACTGGGCGACAGAGGCCCGGAGAAGACAAGACCATGCATGTGCACTGTCCTGTCATGGCAGGAATATGTATCTGAAGGCGGGGGATGATACTGTAACAAAATAATTTCTTATCAGTCTGGTACGGTATCATTCCCTGGCATCATATTGATTTATATAAGATATAATGATTATTTACATTTGTATCTTTACCTCTATCCAATTCCCATTCAAATATTTTTAAAAATGACCGTTTTAGAGACTTCGTAAGATAGGAAAACTTTCCAGCAGCTTGGCACTCGTGACAAATTTTGGAAATCGGGGACAGTAACCGCAGCAAATGTGTTAACATTTGTGATAAAGAAATAAGCTTCACCAAATGTGTTTGTTGAATAGACTATCTCGATAATATTATTTTGTATATAAGAATAAACATGTCTTGCTATGGTGCTTATACTTTGAACATATCAGGAAGAAAGATTAGTATCAAACGTGAGAGTACTCGCTAGAGTATAATAATTTTTTTTATATTGACAATAGCCATCACAATAATAAGTAATTATAGAATAAAAGCTTTGAATGTTTAAAATACGGTTAATAATTAAGTTGTATATAAAAAAAAATTCAGAAGGTACATACCAAATTTTTTAAATCACCTTCCAACATTAAAATATAAATTCCACCTTGTTTCAAGTTAACGTTTGTTACAACAGTGTCATTAACTGTAATGATGTACCTGTAAAAATGACAAGAATTAACATTATTAATATTCATGAGAAAAAAAATAAAATAAAATAAAAGTATTGAAGCCTTACCTTCCATTGAGAGGCATTTCGATCTGCTGTGATTGATGGGATGCGTAATATACCGTAAAGTTTCTAACGTTATCAATAGTTTGTGCTGATATCGATAACTGGTCAGTATTACTAAATAGAATCCTAAAATGTTAATGCATAATTAAATAACTTGTAAATAAAATTATCTGTTAACATGTTCTTATCAAATATAGGGAAAGATATTACTATTGCTATATGAAATATATTTAGTTAAATCTAAGAAGAAGTTGGTTGGAAGACCGGTCAAAGTAGATACAAACACGATAAGTGTGACTTATACTTAATGATTGCAATTTTTTTTAGGTCTTCATCAGGACGAAAAGTAACAAGATATAAAAGAAGAAAACATTTGTAACATGAGATAAGTTACAAATATATTTTAGGAGGTGAAAATGAAAAGTAAGAAATATCTTCATTCACCTACTACAATAGATATGTATCTGGTATCTTACACCGATTCAACATTATTTTTTCTTGTACTTTGTATTAGTTTACATTAATCTCTTATGTATTTTGTTCTTTTTAGCCCTGATGAAGACCTACAAATTAGGTCAAAACGTAGGCAATCAATACATATAAATCCAACTTATCATATCGTCGGCACCATGTTAAAGTAACAAATGCACAATGTTGAGCAAGTTCACATTTGTTAATTTAACATGGTGCCGACGATATGTGTGAATCCCATGACCGCACAACTAACATGGTTGCTTGGTCAGTAAGGTATTTCTTGTTTTTTAAATTCATATTTCTATAATCTAATAAAAGTATTAGTAAAAGTACAGCATACCTTTATGTTATGTCTGTACGTCTATGGCATTGGCGACAAGAACAGATAGGTTTTTTTTACTGTATGTAATGTGTTAGTCAAGTAACAAATGTGTTTGTTAAGTCTGTATGAAAATTTTATTGTCTATCTCCTCAAAATATTGACACCACTAAATTTTTATCTAAATCTTCACCTAAATCCGCCAACTTTATCCTTAAATGTTTAATTCTTATTTTTCTATTATTATATCCAAAATTGTCACTTTGGAATAAGATAAGTGAAATTATAATAAAGGATTATTTCTTTAGTTCTTTCGATATTGCTAGAATTCTTGAAGATCTACAATATAATTCAAAATGTAGGCTATCCAATATTATAATACAATACCTTATTCTAAAATATTATCTGACTGAGAGCCGCACACTACTTCCTTCTCCTTCCCTTTTCCCTCCCCACCGAACAACTTTTTCTCACTTAAATTTAAAATATTTAATATTGCTTAAAACTAGTTATACTAGTTCAAAGATCTATCCTAATTAAATTAAAACCGATAAATCAGAAATAAACATTCAATAATAATAATAAAAAAAGATAATTAAAATATGTTCACAAAACGTGTTTATTTTGATTAAAAATATCAAAAAATTTCTTTCTATATTTTTCAAGAATCCTAATGGATCTCAGGCCAGCAGCCTTTGTTTACCTTTTAATAGATTTTTATAAAGTAGATTCCTGCTTAACTAGCACTCCTGATTAACGGGCTGTAGCAGTAAAAATTTTTTTTTTAATTTAACATCCTTAAAAGCACTTATAACTTTGTGACATTCTCAAATATTGGTTATAAATTTAATGTAAACCGGACCACGTCTTAATAACCAATAAAAAATCTTAAAAATGTAATTTGTCCCAGGATACATCAATTTTCCTTCAGAGATGAGTTTTGAAATCTTCTACTGTTTCAAATAACTTATATTAAAGTTATATTACAAATTCAAAGATCAGAATCGGGATTTTTCAGTTTTCACTAATTCCCTTTCTTTTAACAACTGTTTTGTCAAAATCCATCACTTGTGAGAGCCATAAAAAGGATCTTACTATATTATATTATACTATATCATACATTTTTTAATGAAATTAAAAAAAAAAAGCTTACTTCAGTTTAGGGTTGGAACTTTGAGACTTGACCATTTCCATATTTCCTCCAGTCATATTTAATCGAATCAGAGAGAGCTTTTCGTCTTTATTTAACAGCATAAATGAAAAAATCTACAACAGAAATATCACAATGTATATCATATTTTAATTTTCATTGCTGAGAGACCATTTAACTAGCAAAAATTATCACTGAGTAATTACATGGGGTGATGGCACTTAAATTATTTATTCTGTTTCATCGGCCATGGATCAATCCTGAGGTCAGGAGACCTTCCTTGGGCACACCCAGTCTCTATAACATGGGTCCTCTAACTAATTAAGAGAGAAAAGCGTTAAGGTTGAGCGTGTTCGCGGTCAAATCATTTCGTTGCACAACTGTTGATAAAGCACCAGTACTTTCCAACATTGTACTGAACCAAAGACTTCATAAGTTGCATTGGTGCAGGATCTTTTTTTTTTTTAGAAAAAAATTAAAATAACAGGGTGTCTTTTTCACCTCTCCTACATCGCCATTTTTGGCATGTGGATGGAGGAGGATAGGGATAGGGGAGGAAGGAGTAGTTTTGAAGGTACAACCAAACTAATATAACCAGAGTGGGAAGCTGAGATCCATCCTGAGGATATTTATACTAAATATTTTTATTCAGAGACAACAAGGAGAAAGAAAATGAAATGAAATGAAAATAACTTTATTATCTCCAACAGAATGGAGCGAGGTAGCTCTGTGTTAGGGCACTAAGCTTCCAGTGCTCGATGTCCCAGGTTCGAATCCCAGCTCATGGCAGAAAATTTATTTATTGTTTCATTGGCCATGGGGCTACCTGGGGTAGGGAGACCCTACTGGGGTACACCCAGCATCTACAAAGTGAGTACCTTTAATTAAATAGTTTATTAAGAGGGAAAACCAGGCTGTCAAGCATGATCCTGGCTCGATCCCCTCCCAGCACAAATTTTGGCTTTATAACAGTACTTTGCCTAATAGTACTGAACCCAAGACCCTTCATGGGTTGTAGTGGTACAGTTTTTTTTTATTTTTATTAATTTTTTTTTTTTAGTGGCTCTATAGAACAAATTATAAATGGTGAATATAAATAAATCTAAAGTAGTATAAAGTAAAAATACAGGTAATAAAAAATATACATAAAATAAACAGAGAAAGATAAAATAAAATAAATAAACAAAATAGTATCTGAGGGTACTTAAGAGAGTTTAACGACTTAGAATCTTAGGTGCGATTCATGATCAAGTGGATTGGGAATGGAATACATGCTTAAAGAGGAGATTGACTTTGCCTGTCGAATATGTCGCTGAGATCTAATAACCTGGTATAGGAAGGTAGCAAGGAAGTACTTAAGGCAGTTAGACAGATAGAGCCACTTCAACTCGATGTAATAGTGTATGGAATATAAGTTGATTTTTATTCTATACACCTTACCTTTTCAATTATGTTCTATATACTACTTTTATGACTCCTACTGGAGGGCAGGGTGGCAGAGTAGGCTATCGCAAAATTCCCGTTTAGCAACAACCTGATAAATTGCAGATCACGAGTTCTAATCCCAGAGCGGGAGAGGGAGAGGAGGACTTATAACTCCGGTATTAAACCCCGGCCCTCTCAACTGACCCCAGAAAAACTATATAGTCGAAAAGGCATGGAAGGGGGGAAGAAAAAAAATACTTCCCCTGAAGATTATAAAATCTCATTATCATTACTTTTTTACTTTCACTTACGTATATATGAAATAAATAGTAAGTGTAAGTATTGCGATCGTGAAAATTTTTGAATCTCAGTTTTCAACGGAAATACATGTTCTGAGGTACCCTGAGTCCAAATAACCAAGTGTCGCAAAACGGTCTATGTGTGCGGGTTAACAGTCTAAACAAAAAGTAGTACGAAACTGATATTAAGTATTTAAGGTTTGTATATGCGCCGGAAGTGACAGCAACTTTTTTGTTAAAATCAGCTAAGCGGAAGTGCCACTTTATATGAACGCTGAAACACATTTTTACAATTTTATCAAAAACGGCTCTAACGAATTTGATTAAACTCAGGGTATCATTGTATAATTAAGTGATCTTCAATATCATTTAGGTCTTATCCCCGTTGATGTCACTTTACAGGGCTTAAATGCCCAATGTTCATATGCATCTTCCTATAAAGTACTTTTAATATGGTTTATTTTAAATAACCAATTATCTCTCATTATTAAAACTTATGAAAAAATGCTAAATATATTTTGTGAAAGAATTTGATAATTGAAAAAAGGAGAAAAAAAAAATGCTTATCCAGATCGAAAATTAATATCTGAAAATACTAGTCCGAAGATATACGTATAATATATCGTTGGAAAGAGGAGAATTTTTGAAAAAACAATATCTAATATAGAAAGTTGTAAAAGAAAACGGAGATTGGCAAAAAAATTATAAATAATATTTTTTGAAAACTAATAATATTTAACGTAAATCACATGTTTTCAAGGAAATTAAATGAAATTTACTAACTAAATGTAACCTTTTATAATATTTTTAAGTTTGAAAGAAATATTTAAAACCCACCTAATAAAGGCAATGACATTGTTTAAATAACTATTGCGTTGTACTTGTGTGAAAGAAGAAGTAAAATATAAAATCATTTCATGCATATCTTTTTAACCTTAAATATATTTACTGAAGTTTAATAATTTTATTACAATCCATAATGAATTGATCGTGCAATACATGATCAATGGATTGTACAATCCATAATGAACCGGTGATATAATAAATAGGACTTTGGTTATTTTAATGGTATTTATGATTTGTTAGATGTAATTTTTTAGTTTCAGCTCAGTTAAAAATGCAATTCAAAAATTGTATAATAGCCCAATATGGCCAAAAATAATTTCTATTCAAAGTTGAGCGGTAAGTGAAAGTTGTATGTTGCCCTCACCAGATTTTTTTCTCTTCTAACGAGTTTCTGAACTACAGAGAACAAAAATAAATGACTAGGGTTTATGCCTCAAAGCCAATGGAAACAAACAAATTCTGAATGGGGAAAATTATCATTTGTCCTCTCTCATGGATCCAGCTCTACTTCACACTCAAACTTTGTAAAATCTAGGATGCACTTCTTCCATATTACTTCATACTAGTTATACACCTGGAGCCAGGGCCCAAAAATATACCTCATCACAGGTGAAGATTCGATTGTAAATTACAAAAGTTTATATAATTTTAAGTAAAAATAACCTAGTCTGCCGTTCCAGAGCTGCTAGTTTCAAAAATGGCAGCTGATTTAAAGAATATTAGGCCAGTAATTTGAGGATTGAAATGGGAAATCCATTGTGAAAATTGTGAGAAAAGTTTTAATTTTTTTAACTTGTGTATGCGGGTTTAGACATGTAAAAAACAAAATTGCTAATGCAGGCCACCAAGGGAAAACTTTTTATAGGCAAAAAGATTAGATTTTTTTCACCTATAACTCCTAAACAATTCATCAAAGCGAAAAATGTACTCTTTAATAAATTAAAGAATGTTAAATGGTGCGTCAAATGAGTTCATAAACTTCATAATTTGGTTACGTGATAAGGTATAAAACCACGATCAACCAATGCTGCTTTTACAAAATTTGTCAAAAACTGAGAAAAATGACTATAAATGGCCCTGTAACTTGGAAATGAGCTCTCTAAGAGGAAAAACCCATAGAATCCTAGTTGTAGAGCATCAAATTTTGTATCCACTGATTACTGACATTTTTATTGTAGATCAATAATATATCTCGAATCGGGATTCGTTATACCTTATGAAATTCGGTATCTTTCAACACCATGGCTCCAGGGCTATTAATGAAATTTAGTTCCAGTTTTATTTAATGAAATGGGAAATAAAAATCTAGAATACCTCTTTTTCCTTAAGTTCAAGAAATCCAGTCCAAGAACCTGCACAAGCTGTCGATATGGTCACATTAACAGGCTCAGAAGAGATTTTTTTCAAGTCTAGGAAGTCTTGAGGTGGTAACACCACTTTATTTGAAAGCCCATTAACATCAGCAGCACAACTTAACGGATTATACAGAATTACTTCCGACTGCCCACGTCCTGGTAATGGCGCATTTTCTTGCTTGAAAATTTAAATATTAAAATGAAGTTCCTGTAAAAGTGCTGATGAATAATTTGTACTTGGTTTTATATTTTATTTTTGTATAATTAATCACCTGTATATAAATCTCGAGAGCACCTGATAAAAGAAAAGCAAAAGCAGCGAGGAATCCACCAACTGTTAATTTCTGAAGAGGATTTCTCACTAAACGTAATTTTGCCAAAAATGGATAAATAATACTTTCGAAAAGTGGAATGAAGAACAGTACGAGCAAAGCATCGAGAGTTTGCATTTGGTCAGGTTGGATAGTGAACCAACCTAAATCTCCATCCATCCGACTAGCTTGAAACGTCCATTTGGAACCCTAAAAACAATCAAACTACTTAGTTAATGTTCATATATAAATTTTAACTATTTAATTAGTTGTAGTCTATTTAATCAACTAAAATTTAAATATATTCTTTAGTCTACCATAAAATAGGGGAACTTTACCCTTTGAAGGTTACATTATCCCAAAACTAGAACATTTTCTATTAATTCGCCAGTGTAAATAATTATCGAAGTACAGTGGCTCATAGTTAGGAGGGGGTGGCTGAGTAGGCTAACAGATGTGCACAGCACCGTTAATTGCCTGGCAACATGATAATCCAAGTTTGATATAGAAAAAAAATTAAGAGTTCAAATCCCGGTGCGTCTTTTAACTCAGCATAATTCTCCCACCATCTTTCCTGGCCTGGTGGGCCCTTCTCTAAGAAAGGTGAAACCAAAGAGACTCAGAAACTCTTCAACATATTTATTTATAATAGTCTCATTATAAATATGTACAAACTCAAAAAATTAAAATATTCAACTATGATTACTCAAAAATATTTATTAAAAAAAAACTGGATAATTTTCCTCTCTTCTTATTAACTTTTAAAGACTATTAATTTAGTTCAACACCTTGTAGGAGTGCTATTATTTTCTACCACTCCTTTCAGACTGCTTGTAATGGAGTCGACCAATTGTTTTATGGTTGCGGGGTTAGCCTATTTCAAGGAGATATTTTTTAAAGTCTTCTTTGCTAGATTTATGTTTTCTAATTTTGCCCACAAGTTTTCTACCACAAAAAGATCTGATGACTGAGGTGGTGTTTTTATAAAGATATAAAGAAGCCATTCCTTGGCTAACATGGCAGTGTTTGGGGTCATTGTCCTAATAAAACCAAAATTTGTTTTTTAGCCCAAATTTGCCAAAAGTTCTTTCAAGTTTCTTCTCAAAATGTCAGTGCAAACTGACTGTTCAAAGATATTGTTGAAGAGACGTTACTTGAGGATTGCAGTCATTGCAAGTACAAAGTAAAAAATAAATTTTATTTATGGCGATGATTGCCATTTATTTGTGCTTTCAAAGAGAGGAATTGCCGAATCCCTTTGAAGGAGCAGCCCTGATGAAGGCCTCAATTTCAGCACTAGGAAAATTAATATTATCATTTTTTACTTTGTATTTTCAATACCATACCATAAAATGTATAATTTTTGAGTTATTCACACACAAAGTTTCTTTTCCTTAATAACTTTTTTTGCCTGAAATCAGGAGGTGATGTGACTATTTTTCCCACCTGAAGGAAAAAGAAATGATGATTGCTCAATAATTGGATTTGATGAAGAGTTGACGAAGATATAGCATACCAACAAAAAACATCTTTAAGAAATAATATAAACTCCTCCTCTCTCATTCATAGGAATCTAGTCGATGACATGAGACATGTATCCCATGATAACACCTTTGAGAAATAATATTGAGTTGTCAAAAATATGCAAAATGATAATGTTTGTTTACCTCTGTAACATTTCGCTACTTATAAAGAATTAATCTTTACTGAGATTTCAACGCCTGATTTTTGCATAATTTTGTTTTATGAGCTTAAACTCGGACGGAATGAGGTCCAGGCAGCCAGAAACATCAATAAGTCTGGGGCGAGAGCAGCATTAATGAGTGCACTGTTCAATGGTGATCCAAAAAATTTCAGGAGGGAGACTTCAGCCTTGAAGACAAAGGTCATGGAAGTTCTTCCTCTCTAATTGACAATGTTCTACGGGCTTTGGTGAAAAAAAAACCTAGAACAACTGTTTGAGAACTTGTAGGGAAACTTAACTATAACCTTAGCAAATCAACGTCGATGACCACCTTAAGATGATTGGAAAGGTAAAAAAGCTTGAAAGTTGGGTTCCACACACATTAAACGACCGCCAAAAAAAACACGAATATGAAGTTTGTGTTACACTTCTTAACCGAAACAAAAACAATCCTTTTCTGTCCAAGATTGTTACTTGTGATAAAAAGTGGATAGTTTATGATAATAGTAGAACTTCTGGACAGTGGCTCGACAAAGGAGAAGCAGCAGAACATCTTCCAAAGCCCCCAACTCATCAAAAAAGGTGATGGTTACTGTTTAGTGGGCTTCCTTTTGTTTATAATATTACAGCTTCTTAATTCCTGAAGAAACCATACATGCTGAATCGTATTCTAACCAAATTAATGCAATGCACCAGGAATTGGCAATAATGAATCCATCTTTGGTCAATCGGAAGAGACCCATTTTGTTAGATGACAACGCCCGGCTACATGCCGCACGTGGTACGTCACAAAAACTGTTAGAGCTTGGTTACGAAACTCTGCCACATCCGCTCTACTCTCCGGACTGTCTCGTTTATGGGTCATCATTTTTTTAGACACCTGGACTACTACTTACATAACAAAGATAATTAGAAAATGCATTTTTGGAATTCATTAATGATAAAGATGGGAAATTCTATTCCGAGGGAATGGAAAAATTGCCAACATGTTGGCAGAAATGTATTTATAGTAGTGGAGACTATTTCGATTAAATAAACAGTTGTAAATCTTTCTTTTTTCTTTTTAAACCAAAATCCTGCATTATTTTTCATACAACCCAATATATAAAGCTTAACTGTTCTCATTCAAATTTGAAGTAATTGAAACCACTTCAGACTAGAATTATCCTTTAATATCTTTAAATACTTATTCATTACTTAATACTTATTTCACATATAGTATAATTCTAAATATATACAAAGTAATATATTATAGTGTATACCTGTTGATCGTATAGAGCCCAAAATACAATCGTAGGTGTGAATAAATAAATTAATTTCATAAGAACTTTAATATCTGCTATCAACTTTACACTATATTTATCTTCAGCATAGTCTAACCAATGCTCTTTCTTTTTAGTTGAACTAATTTTCTTTGCAACTGCATGCTAGAAATAAAAGCTATATTATATAACCTGAGCAAAAGTAAATAATTTTTCAACAAATCATAATAATTAAATTACTCAAATTAAATAAGCTTAGACACCTAATGCTTTTAGGCTGAATAAAAAATATATTAACTACCATTTGTTCACTTTTTTCTTCTTCACTACCAAAGGTAGGGATGTTTTGTATTCGTGCGGGAGGTAAAAAAAATTTTATGCTCAGAATCGAAAAATTTCCTTACATTTTGCGTTTAAGACATCAAGGAACAAATCTGGTTCCATGTCTATTGGTAGTCAAATGTATGTGAAAACCAACTCAATATATCATTAATCGGAATCAGATACAATTTCAAATATTATGCATTAGTTGGTATCCAGATAGTTTCATATCAATCTCATCTAATTCCATCGACTACTTCCTCTTCTGGATGCGCAACCATATTAGCCCTTGGTACAGGTACAGGTACAGACACCTTTTTTGTCCAAATTATTAACATCCTTCTAAAACTTCATGAATGGCTTCAACTTCATCTTATCGTAATATACCAGCATTTTATCTATGAAAATTCTCACAAATGGGGCGTTTTATCATTAAATAAATTAATTTAAAAACTGATGAAAACCCATTTGCTTTCCATTTGAATTATAACAGAATTTAATCAGGAAATTAAGAAAGAAAAATGACCTACAAAAATATTGGACTGCTTGGTCTTTATAATCTTGTTATTTTAACATGTTGAAGATGGAGGTCATGCCAAACGGTACAATACTTTTGTAGGCCACCAATTTTCTCAATTTTGTGATCAAATTATCTTACAATTCAGTGGGAAGCAAATGGGTATACCTAGTTCTGCCATAAATACTGTTACAAAAGGTGAACTTTGTTTATATCGTAGGGTATTATTTAGATAATCCTTACCTCTATCAGGATATTTTCTTTACATGTCAGGATAATAATCCAAATTAGTTTGTATTTTTCTTTCACTCAGTTAACATGGAGTGGGGTGATAAAGAAAACCGAATAGCTATTATCGCCTTACACAAAGTTGGAAAATGTAAGTCAGAGATTTTCAAAACTTTAAAACCTTTGGATATGAGCCGTATGTTCCTTTACTGACTATAAATAGATATAATGAGACTCTATCTGTATGTCACAGAGCACAACCCCGCACTGGTGTAACGGTCAACCAATGATCTTCATCGAAAAATTTTGTTTAGTGATGAGAAATTTTTTTACAATTGAAGAAAAATTTAATCGCTAAAATGATCGTGTGTATGCACACAGCTCTAAAGAAGCCCAGGAAGTCATTGGAAGAGTGGGTTGAGGTCATCACGCTTTCTCAGTGATGGTTTGGTGGGGAGTTTTCTTTGATGACACCACAAAACTCCACTTTTGTGAAAAAGGAGTTAAAACAGCCGCTAAAAACTGTCAGGACGATATTTTAGAACCTGTTGTTAAGCCTCTAAATGATACTCTCTTTGCTAGAAGTCATTGAGTTTTCCAGCAGGTTCCGCTCCAGCTCACAAGGCCAGGTCAACTCAGCAGTGGCAGCAAAAAGAATATCCCAGAGTTCACCTCTGCCTCGGATTGGCCCTCAGGAAGCCCTGGTCTCAACCCACTAGATTATCGGCGTTGGACAGAACTGGAGAGGATGGCATGGCACAGAGCACACCCTAACTTGGAAACCCTCAAACAATCTCAGGTCCGAGAAGTTGAGCGCTTCCCTCAAGTGCTGCATGCCGCTATTGATAAAATTAATTTTTCTGTTGAAATTTGTATATATTTCCTTGTAACAATATTTATGACAGGACTAGGTACATTAGTTTTTAGTACTTCATTGAATAGCCAAAGTTTACCAATGACCTATGAAATGTAGAACAGTTGACTAACTTCTTTCAATAATTTACCAATCTCCAGATTGAAAACGCCCAATTTCTGAGAATTTTCATAAATAAAAAATTTGTAGGTTACGATAAGATGAAGCCATTCATAAATTTTTAGAAGGATGTTAATAATTTGATAAAAAGGTACCGCTGTACCATGGACTATTTTGGGTTCAGTCCATTGTAAAGAAGTATTTTTTTAAGGTCAACAGTAGTACAGGGAAGTGTTCGGGTCAGGATCATGCTCGAGCACCATGTTTTTCCCCTTAATTAATTATGAGTACCTGCTTTATAGAGGCTGGATGTATCTAAAGTGGGTTTCCTGACCCCAGCTTCAATCGAGAGCTGTTGATAAAGAATAAATAATTACCTACCACCAGCCTGATTCAAGCCCAGTAACTTGGGCTTAAAAAGTCAGTACATTAACCACTGAGCTACCCCATTCCCTACTTAAAAATAATGATCATCAAATATATTGAAAAATGCTACAGTATACTTACACCAATACAACCAACAACTTGAAGAGCAATATTGCCTTGTGGATTATTCCTTTTGTACATAGGACTTCCAAAAACAAATATAACTATAAAATAAAATGTATAAAAATTAAATAGTCATCTAAGGTCACTTGGCAATTATAAATAGCATTGATACTAAAAACTATTAATTACAAAACTTATACTAAAAATTTAAATAGACATTAGGCAGATATAATAAATAGAATAAAAATCAATAGATTGATAAGCAATATATTCAATTTTATTTAAAAAATAAGTTAGTAAAAACCGATAATTTAAATAGAAAGAGGGTAGATAACAAATAATAATATAAGGATAGGGGTAGCATTAATAATAATGGGGTTAAATTTCATATATCTGGTCTGGTTAAAATGACTAAGTAAGTATAATAGAGGCTATTAGACCTTTTAAATGTTAAATTGTGTAAAATTTTAAGAAAATGGCTTTAAACATAACATATCTTTAATAAGTTATAAGGACTAGGTCTTTGTTGTTATTATTATTATTATTATATTAAAATATCTTAAACAAGAATATTTGTAAATAATGTTGAAATAGTTATTGTTTAATGATTATCGAAGTTATGTTCTGAAGAATGTTACACGGAAACATTAACAATAAAGTATAAATAATAAAATATAAAAAGTGGTAAATGGATGCCATTAATAATTGAGAAATGAATCTACATATTATCACCATGGCTTCCTTTTAAATTTGAATATACATTAATAAACATTTATCATATAATAGGTTATTTAAATTGAAAAATAACAAATTAACTAATTTGGAATCAATCAAAAACAATATAAAAAATGCATTTCTATTTTATGTAATAAATGACATATGTTATATTTACCAAGAGCTACGATCATCAACGCAGCAGGTAAACCAAATGCTAACGGGTAACAGTCTTCATTGCTGCCGAGGCAGTGGTATTCCCGTAGCATTGGAGTCAAGAAGGAGGAAATAACACTTCCAGCGTTAATTGAAAAATAAAAGATGGAAAAGAAACTTCGGAGTTGTTGTTCTTGTTGTGGAAGAATGAACTGGTCACCTCCGAAAGAAGAGACACATGGCTTTATTCCACCCGTCCCTACTGCAATTAGAAATAACCCAAAGAGTGATAGTTCTCTGAAATAAAGACCAAAAAAAGAGGTTAACAGAACATGAAAAGAAAAAAATATGAAAAAATAAAAGAACATATAAAAATAAAATATGTTTAATAACTTAAAAGGATAACTCCTAATTCTCAAATTTTGCAAACAAATAAAAACTTGTGACACTTTCCTCACTAAATAAAAACTCTTATACTATACCGCTATAACTGAAAATGAATGCTACAAATGGAAATAATATATATTTTTTAATGAATACACACCTGTGAGGAATACTGAATGCTGCAACGGACCCAAATGAAAGGACAATGTTACCAGTTGCGTAAAGTAATGAAACATACAGTATGGTACTGAAAAAAAAAATTTAACTTTATTAATTTAAATTAAACTCAATTTCATTTATTCTCTTTAATTTATTGTACATACACTCATGTATCACTAATTATTAATGTCCTAAGTAACAGAATATAATATTATTCAATAAAGAAATGTTTAAGAAAAAAAAAAGAATTTAGGCTTCTTTTTTCTGGGAAGTTGTATGTTATTCTTTGTTATTTAGCAATGATGACTTCCAATTAACAACAATTGAATTTATTTGTTGTATTTCCAAATTACAGACACCCAATAATTGGTCTAAAAGCATGATATTGCTCTGGATATTGTATACCTTAATTTATTATAACTTGAATTAGAACCTGACGATGGAGCACATTAGATTTAAGCCATTTATCAACAAAAAATCATTGGGATTTTAGTTCTGAAGATGGGAGTAAATATCCCGAAACATTAACATGTAAAAATGTAATTTAGAAATACAACAAATAAATTCAATTGTTGTTAATTGGAAGTCATCATTGCCAAATAACAAAGAATTTAAATATATATCTAGCATTTATTTGAAGTGCAAAACAAGGCCCTCCGAATTATTACTGGTGCTCCAAAATCAACACCTATCGCAGCTATGCAGCTTCAAACATGTATAGAACCCATAAAGATACGAAATGAGATTGCTGCTCTAACAATGAGTGAGAAACTAATGCGTTTGGAAACTGACTATTGGAAGGAATGTTAACCTGCCACAATGAGGCTTAAAACCCAAGTCACATTCATGAAGAAATTGGAGACAATTAGAGAAATCATGAGTTGGGATTCGAACCCGGAATCTTGAGCTTTGGAAGATCAGTGCCCTACCGATGAGCTACCCCACCCCCACTCCTCTAGAGAAATTAAAGGACTTATTATTTCTTCATGAGAAAATTTCATGACGATTCCACCAAGGGTCTCCACAAAGTCAGCACAAACCAATTTACAGCTTCTGCAACCAGTCAACAAGCAAAGTTGCTTTAAAGTAGAACTAAGGCATTTAGCGCTTGAAACCATAAGGGAGAGGTACTCCAGTCTCCCATGGTTATACGTGTACACAGACGGTTCTGCGAATAGAGCAAGAAAGGATGGGGGAGCTGGTGTTTATACAGAACATTTCCAAAAGCTGTGAGAAAGCTAGCAAGTAACTTTGACAGTGATGTAAAAGCAGTTTTTCTAGTATTAAAACAGATAAAAAAGTCTAAACCGCATAAAATTGTGATCCTGATTGACTCACAAGCTGTAATAATTGCCATTTCAGATACTTCTTGCTGTTCCACAAATCAAATCAATATGTGCCAGGAATTTTACTGATATTATAAGGCACAAATATTATTCTACAGTTGATACAAGGACACTGTGGTTTGACAGATAATGAAAATGCTGGCCGATTAGCAAAAGAAGGTATCGGAAAAGATCAGCCAAATACGCCAATCCCTTTCTTGATGGCAAAGAAGTTAATGAAAACAGTAATCATTGAAGAATTGGAACAGAAACGGCAGTTGGAGTTAAAGGAGAAGTAATGGGCTTTATTACTAGAAGAAAATGGAAGAGTGCCTGTGGATTAAAGTGGATCTCTCTAGAAGTTAGGCCATGCACAGTTCAGGATGAAAACCAGACATGACTATCTCCAAAGCCATCTATACCGTATTGGAGTTGTCTTTGCAGCAACATGTCCACTGTGTCGACGAGGATTTATGACTTTTCTGCATCCACTGACTTGTCCCGGACTACAGGACATTAGAAACAAAGCCAAGACAGAAGGGGAAATTTACTGGGCTGCTAGACGTCGTATGGCCGAAAGAGCTCAAGATGATCAAGGCATAAGGTAAAAAAAAAAAGAAAAAATCTATCATTTATTTGAAAATAGCTATTGAATATATCATATTAAATTATTTGTGAAAAAATGTTAGCACTACTTGTAATTAATGTAATATTTTTCTAATACAGCCAAAACAAATATTTTGTAATCATAAATACTAAGGACTATTTCTGGGAAATTCAAATAATTTCAAAACTTCTTGAAATATAGGAAAATTTTTCGAAACTAGATGACCCACATGCTTGGGTCCAAATGTCGACAAACTTAATAAACATTATTATTAACTGCAAATCTTGCTTCATTTATTTAATATTTATGTATAATCTAAGAAGATTTATTTATTCTATTTATAATTATTTTATGAACTACTAAGAACTAGAAAAAATGTATTAATTTGCTTAAAATATATCAAAATAATAATAATAACTGAAATCCATGGATGATTTCATTTCCATAAAATGGAGAGGTGTATGTCGGAATGAATCATAAAATTCTTGGATACGCAGATGATATAGCAGTCCTTGGAAGCAATCAAGATAACATTGAGAAACTTGCTACGACCCTGATAAGTGAAACAGAGCAAATCGGCCTACAGTTAAATGATGATAAAACAAAATACATGATAATAAGCTAAAAATCTCACCCTAATAACAGGCTCTGTATAAAAAGGAAACCATTCCCAAGAACAGACAAATTCGAATATCTAGACACCACAATAACCTCAATGAATCAACAACAGTGAGAAATAGACCAGTGCATAACAAGCGCAAACAGAGCTTTCTTCTCTCTTTTAAAAGTATTGAAATCCTATAAAATCTTAAATTAAGGATGTATAGAAAAAAAGAAAGAAAACCAGTACCTTAGAAAAAGTGTTGAACGATTTGAGAACAAAATTCTCTAAACGATAACCAGAGCAATCTGGGATCAGAATACTAACATATAGATGAGATAGATGAATAAAGAACTGCTTACAGAAACTGTCAATCAACATCTCATGATATGAAGGCATGGAGGTTAAGATGGACAGAACATGTAGCGAAAGACCATGTAGAAGGCTAAAAACCAGATGGAAATATCGGATCTACATAGAAGAAATAGTGCTGCATGCAGATAACTGGAAAGAAATAGCCCAGAGATTAATAAGGCTGATTAAGGTGGCAAAAGATATGTCTGTAATGCCAACAGAAAAAAAAATATTCCTAACAATTACATTGATTTAAATTATTAAACGATAACAGATAAAATTGATAACAAACCGCACATACATTATTTCCCAAATTTCCTCTATCTTTGGGTGAAATTGAATGAGCTGTTATGAGTGTGAAATATAAGCTTGTCGAGGAAAATAAGTTTACAAATTTGTTAGTAATAGTAATGAATGCCATTTGATAAAATCGATACTCGACCATTTTTCATTAATTCCAAACTTTTATCCAGATTGGTGCCTAATTTTATGAAAACGATATGGAACCATCTAGGAACCAACCCGCACACTATCTGAAAATTTCATGAAAATCATATTAACAGAAATAGGTGATATACCCATTATACGGATTTGACTGCAGATAGACAGACATGGAATCAAACTTGTTCCTTGATATCTAAAATATGAAATGGGAATGAAAACTTTTGATTCTGAGCCCAAATTTATTTTTAACATCCTGCACAAATAAAAAGCTTCCCTACTTTCGGTAGTGAGGAAGCAATAATATCTAATAATATAGTTTTTCTATATTCCATTGCTTCATAACATAAAAACTGATATTTGAAATAATCTAACACAATATACAAATTTTATACCATGAGAATCTCACTTATATTTTCCTAGCCATGCATCAGCCATTATCCCGCCAAAGAGAGGTGTGAAATAACACAGCACGATGAACATGTGATAGATTATTGTAGCATTATTTTCAGTATAATGAAGAGAGTCTTTGAGATATAACGCTAAAACACCTGAAATTTATCATATATTAAAAACAACATAATAAGTTTGATAACTTTATTTTCAGGAAGAGGATGGTCCGGCGATCATAAAAAAATTAAAAATAGTGAAAAACTGATTTAAGATTTTTATGTTATGACCGCCACCCTGGACCATCTCCTTCCTGAATAGTATACTACGATCAACCATTTAGAATTCAATAAATTTATTTTATATTTTTTTTCAGAAGATATTTTATATTATCATATAATATAGATATTTATATAATACAAACAAATTTGTCTACCTGGGGTACCTAATAACTGCAGGCAATGACATCTCAAAGGAAATTGAGAGAAGGAAAGTTATTGCCAATCGATATTTTCTTTTCTAATTATCTTCGCAAAGTTACATTGGAAAATTTGGAACTTTTTGTGTTTTTATTGTTATAACCTAACTTCGAGGTGTAATAGCTTTCCTAAGCATTGTCTACTATTTTCTGGCATCTTTGATTTGCAGAAGATTAAATGCCAACCTGGGGAGAATTGTCAGTTAATTCCAAAGTGGATTTAGACAAGAAATGTTGACAACTGATTCTAATTTTGCTTTAAGGTAAGGTAGCTGTTGGAAAAGAGTCATGTATGCAACATGACACTGCACCAACCCTTCATAGATGTCCCCAAAAAGTCCGAATGACCATGAGCGGCTCTCAATGTCGGATCAAATCACAGCGCATTCTTGCGCAGAATTTTGCTGATAATAATGGACTTCAAAAAAGCATGCACAGTGTGGGAAATTAGGACCTATCCTGGTGGCATAATCTACAATAGATACACACAGGTATTGGTCTACGCAGACAGTGTCCACCTGATAGCAAGGATGCACTCAATGAGGCGTTGGAACATAGCAAGGAATCAAGCTTCAAAAATCTTGCATGGAGAGCAAAGGTGGTCATTTATAAAACCATTATACACCCAGTAGTCAACTATGGAAGCGAAACATGGCTCTTGAGGTAGGATATGGAAAGGCGTCTAAGCTCATGGGAGCAAGGAGTTCTCAGAAAAATATACGGACCAGTCTCTAGGTGAGAGTGGAAAATAAGAAAAAATAAATTGTGAAGAATAAAAAAATTGCGAGCATTATATGACCAGCCTCCACTGCAAAGATATAGTGGCTATAATAAAAAAAAAAAGGAAGGTTCAGGAGGCTAAGGACATGTGCAGCTTATGGAGAACAATCGCCTCCCAAAATAATTTATATACGGGAAGCCAAGAGTTGGCCAAAGAGGTCGACGTCATAGGATGAGATGGTTGGACGACATTGAAGCAGACCTGCGGCAGCCGGAAGTTAGACGGAGAGCTGTTGCTGCTGACAGAGCAGCTTAGCAGGTAATGTGTGAGGAGACCATTGCCCTTGGATGGCAGTAGTGCAAAAAATAATAATAATCATCACCGATGAATAAAATGTGAAAATTCATAGTACCACCCAATTGACATTATGATACATTGTAATATTCGTAATAATTTGGAATTTATTTTAAAAACAGCACATTAATATCTAGGAAAGAAGAAATAATTTGCACTTTAAAAAGTACTACTTAAAAGTAGGAAAAAAAAAGTTATGTTAAACTGCAATTAAAAATTGTTTAAAATCAATTTTTGGTATATTTTTTCATGGCTTTAAAATAAAATAATATTTTGTTCTCACCCGTTCTCTTTTAGTCATTAGACAAGTTATCACTAGAAAATTAGATCACTCATCTGATACTAGATATCTTGATATACACTGACAGGCAAAAAATTCCACCCACTTGATTTTTTCATCTAAAAATATTTCTGCTTTGGATTGGTCTATTGTTTTTAATGAATAAATATGTAATTTTTTTGTTTGTTTTCAATTATGAATGTTAATATAGAGGACAATAACAATTAATCCTTAATTCAATGAAATGATTCTAGATTCCAATGTTTACTTTCTAAGGAATCAAAATGTTTATTCAGCATCATTAGTTCAGTGCCGTTTCTTGCAGCACATTTCTTAATCTCCGGCTTTTAATTTTTTCAATATTAAGTTTAAAAATGACTCTTAGTGCTGAGGATGTTGCGCGTGGTGTGGCACTTATTGATGATGGACGTTCCATTAGATATGCAGCTAATGCCATCGGAGTTCCATATGAAACTTTACGAGACGCCGTCAGGCGTTTTCGGGAAACTGGTTCTTACAATAGAAGGCCCGGTTCTGGACGGCCTAGGATAACAGAACCACGGGATGACCGGTTTTTGACTTTGAGAATTTTACGAAACCGGCACCTTACCGTTCTTCAAGCGATTCATCAGCTCGAAGAAGTTCGAGGTGTGAAAATTTCTGAACGTACCACTCGGAGAAGATTAAATGAGTATGGATTAATGGCTTTTCGTCCAGTAAGAGGACCAGAGTTGACCAGAACTCACAGAGTAACACGGCTGGCTTTTGCTCAAGAACACAGCCATTGGACTATGGACGAATGGAGTGCTGTACTTTTTACAGATGAGTCAAGATTCGTTCTTCGATCTCCAGACAGGCGTGAAAGGGTGTGGAGAAGAAGAAACGAAAGATATGCAGCCTGTAATTTTTCCCAGAGCCAACCTTTCCAACATGGTTCCTTAATGGGTAACAAGTGGGTGGAATTTTTTGTCTATCAGTGTATTTTTTACACATATAGGTCTCGCCTATTCAGGGTGTTTCAGGGTTAAGTAGCCAAACTGCGAAAATGAACTAAGGACCTAAAACAAGAAAAAAAATTCCTCTGAAGGTATGTCCGCGAACGCTTTGTTTTGGAGATGGATTAGATAGAATACTAATATGGCCCTTTATTCCTAACTCTATAAAAACTATTGGCAATATATGGGTTAATACTATTTCAAATTAGCATTGGGAGTCCATGCAAGTCCAGTCAATGACCTTAATTATTTACAAAGGATAATTGAATCATGTTAAACAATAACACGTATCCAGTGCCGTTCTGCCACTGCTGCTGTTGGAGAAAGATGACAAGCCAGTCTTAATGCTCAAGGAAATTAAACAACATTTAATGTTTTCGTTTAATTAATAAAGTAGTTGGAACAAATAAGTTTTATTTACTTAATAAAACGTAAATAATTCATAACAATGAAAATCTTAAGGTGTGAATATTTCTTAAACAAAGCGTTTACAGACATACTTTCAGAGGACTTTTTTTCTTGTTTTGAGATCCTTAATTCATATTTTCAGTTTGGCCACTTTATCCTGAAACACCCTGTATATTCAATGAGTACTATTCCATGATGTATTGTTTCATAATATTAATGAGACAAAATATGGAATATGTGTTTCATTTATTTATTTTCTTAAATTTTTTTTTACAGATCTTCAGAGATAATACTTCTCCACTATTGATGTTCTGATCTATAATGTGGCCAAATAAATACTGATAAATGAAATATAAAAGTTTTAATCAAAGGTGGATATTATATAATAAATTAAGACTGACTTAGTAAACAAAGAATACTAAGATTAGTAAAGTAGAATAGTTAAACTTAAAAAAATAGCTAAGTTCCCATTTTTTTAAATGAAATATGGTAGCAACAATATTCAAACTTTTTTAATTTATTTTATAATAACATTCAAAAAGAAAATTTTACTTACCACGCATTCCATAATAAGAAAATCTTTCGCAAAACTCGCTGCTGATGATGAAAAATACAGACTTTGGGTATTTTATTTCCTGAAATTAATTGAAAATGTATCAAATGGCAAGAAAGCAATCGTTTATAATATTATGATTACTTATGATGGAATAATAATTATTTAGACAAATACAGTCTCTTATTTTCATACAAATTAATTAACTGTATTATTTAGTTAGTTAATTGTTTTTCTTTAAATAAATATATTTTAATAAAAAACGACTAAATTTTTTATCTTCATTTAGGTAATATATTAAATATTATCTATAAATAATATTACTTTTTCTATTCCATGCTGTCTATTTTCAGTCTCATCATCTGAAAATGTTAAAAAGTATTAGATTTGACATATTGTAATATTATTTTACCATACCATCAAAGTTTACATTTTTCTCAATATATAATTAACAATTAAACTGCTAATTAACAACTGAATGTTTAAAAGACGAAATATATAACCGAATTAACTAGTATTTTTTTTTTTTTAAATAAGGTGTTTTATTATGGAAGTGTTTATATATCAATAGCTTATGAGAAAAACTCAAAACTTATCTTTTAATAGATTGATATATTTTTGAGTGTACATATATATTTATAAATGAATAATAATATTTCAATACTTTAGAAAAAAAGCAGGACAAATAAATTTTAAAGAATTGCAAACTTTTCATAATTCATAATTAGCAAGTTCATTGTCATGATGCAAAAGTTGAAAACAATTTTTTTTATTAGTTTGTTGAAAATTATAATTTAATTGTTGGTTGATTGTTGACTGTAGTGAATAATGAAGACAAGGATAGTTGGGGTGATCATTCAAAGTAAAAATGGCAAAAATAAATAACAACATTTATTTTAACATTTGCCGACATTTCAACCCGAAGTTCAGGCCTTCATCAGGGCTGATCGAAGAGATTGCTTCCATAGAAGCACAATACCTTCATTCTATCGAAGCGATCTCTTCGATCAAGGGCTGAACTTCGAGTCGAAACGTCGGCAAATGTTAAAATAAATATTATTGCCATTTTTACTTTGACTGTTCACCCCAACTAACCTTCTCTTCAAAATTATAACTTCTTTTGGATTCATAAAAAAAAAAAATTATCCTCAATTCTTTTCTAATTACTGATCCCTTGTTTAATGTACATCGTTAACAATCATGAATGATACAAATTAAAAATATCATCTCTCAGGTTTAAGATTTCATGAGTTAACTTTTTTAGTTGGTACAATAAAAAGCTACTAACATCACTATATATTTAACCATCTTATAAAAAGTGTTTGCTTACTCAATTCCATTACTTTAATGTTTGATTTTTTATATACCATATTTGGGACAATTTTATGATGTGATTACTAATTATGGTATAAACAGAGATCCAATTCAAAAGACAAGTATAAATAAATGAGAAAAAAAATAATAGATCAGTTTCTAGATAATAGTATGAAAATTTTATGGTAATTATGTATAAATAATGATTTGTATATAGCTTAGAAGGAAATATGATACATTAATACTAATGTTTCTCATGTAGTTGAGATATTGCCATACATTAGACAAATGAAAAAGTTATGATCATTGGTATAGTATGGGGTTGTTTTTTATTTTTATGGGCCTATATGTTTACAGCTGTTATTCATAGTCATAAGATAATTTCAAATTTTAGTGCACAAGTAATTTCGTGAGACCATGGTGGCCAAATGTATGAAAGGAGTTGCCTGATTTATCTTTCTCAAATCTAGAAAAACCAATTCCTACTCCCGCCATATGCCAGGAATGGTGTGGTAAGGGATGAAAGAAAAAAAAAGGATTAAATGTGACAGTTAATTTGAAATTACTGTCAATCATGATCTTAAAATGTTTCATTATACTGAGAAAAACAAGGCAAACCTTTTATTTAAAAAACTGATTTTCAACCTGGATAATCGTTGAGTAGTGTTTCCAATTCGGAATCATCAAAATTTTTAGGCTGTCTATGTATTTCCTTATTGCTGGCCCCATATCGGGATCCAAAATGTTTGACAACCCCTTGAATTGTTTCAGGGTCTCCTCCAATATTAGTCTGACTCCTAGATCCAACCATATTGTTCTTACTAGAGATAATGCAATGGATCCCCAATTCAAATAATGATAGTTGACACAGTAATTTATAGTTTAATGCCGACTTATGACTAGGAAAACATTTGAAAATGCCGTTACATCCTGTAAACACTGTGTCTGATACAGTATCACTGTATATGTGAGGAAGGTTAACTTAGGGTTGGCAATAGTCGATAGTAATATCGATATATCGATGGGTTAAATCTATCTATAGCTGTATCGATTGTACTAATGGTTATCGATAATTCTTATCATCTTGAAGTCAAATTTTATACACTCATAGAAATAATTTTAATAACATATCTTTGGACAGCTGATTGATCAGCTGATGAACAACATTGTGTTTCCAACTCAGCTCTCATTATTTACTGCTTTTACAGAAGAATCTCTGTTATTATTCACTTAAAACAATCAAGGATATACCAGAAAGGTGTGATTTACTGTGTACAGTTATCAACATATAGCTTTTGTATTTATTTATTTATTATTACCATGTTCATCACTAGTATAGTAGCTAATAAGAGCTGGACACCTTCATATTCTTCCTCTGTCACATAAGAATCTCGTAAATATCGTCAAACACCTCCAATGAAGCCTATTAGCTCCAAAGAACATGAAATCCAGCCAGGTACACTACAAGAGAACATATCACCAGATACAGCTGAGACCTATAGAAAAATTGTGAAGTATCTAACAGAGACCAAAGCAGATTTTCACACATATCAATTGAGCTTTAAGAGTTGTTATAAGTAACCTACACTCCTCAACACCAACTGAAACAATAGAATAAGAACTGACAACTTTAGTTTTCAAAGTGCGCGAGATATCAAATGTTTATAAGGACAGTAAGGAACAGCCAGGAGTAAAAGTCCCTCTACCCCTATTTTTATATACTTGGAACTGACTCATGAAATCAATAAAATTTACGAAATAACCCTATTATACTACACAAGTGTAAAAGTGGAGAAGCCGTACCCGAAGAGGAATATCGTCCTGTGCCACAATTGCCAGGCGTATGACCACACGAAGACGTATTGCCATCATTCACCGCGTTGTGTGAACACAGTCACACAGCCATTGGACTATGGACGAATGGAGTGCTGTACTTTTTACAGATGAGTCAAGATTCGCTCTTCCATCTCCAGACGGGAGTGAAAGAGTGTGGAGAAGAAGAAGAAACGGAAGATATGCAGCCTGTAATTTTTCCCAAAGCCAACCTTTCCAACGTGGTTCCTTCTCGACCAAAGCCAGCCGTGTTACTCTGTGAGTTCTGGTCAACTCTGGTCCTCGTACTGGACGAAAAGCCATTAATCCATACTCATTTAATCTTCTCCTAGCGGTACGTTCAGAAATTTGCACACCTCGAACTTCTTCGAGCTGATGAATCGCTTGAACAAGGGTAAGGTGCCGGTTATGTAAAATTCTCAAAGTCAAAAACCGGTCATCCCGTGGTTCTGTTACCCTAGGCCGTCCAGAACCGGACCTTCTATTGTAAGAACCAATTTCCCGAAAACGACTGACGTCGTCTCGTGAAGTTTCATATGGAACTCCAATGGCATTAGCTGCATATCTAATGGAACGTCCATCACAATAAGTGCCACACCACGTGCAACTTCCTCAGCACTAAGAGGCATTTTTAAACTTAATATTGAAAAAATTAAAAGCCGGAGACTAAGAAATGTGCTGCAAGAAACGGCATTTAGCTAATGATACTGAAGAAACATTTTGATTCCTTAGAAAGTAAACATTGGAATCTAGAATCATTTCATTGAATTAAGGATTAAGGGTTATTGTCCTCTATATTAACATTTCTAATTGAAAACAAACAAAAAGATTACCTATTTATTCATTAAAAACAAATGACCAATCCAAAGTAGAAATATTTTTAGATGAAAACATGAAAAAATCAAGTGGGTGGAATTTTTTGCCTGTCAGTGTATTTCGTAATGCTTTTGGATGAATTTGATGAACTTTTCTTATGTTGATTGTTTGAAGTTTCCCTAAAGGCTCTAATTTATCCATGAAGGTTTTATTTATAGTTTTAGCTACTATAATTAGAGTGTCTGACAACTTACCTGGTAATAATGATTCAAAGCTTTTTCTCAGTAATTTTCTTTTCAGTTTGATGTGGGTTTTGAAAATTAGTTTCTTGTAGTAATTTGAATCATATTATAATACACTTCTAGCAAGATTCGTAGTGGATAATTAAGCAAAACACTCGAAATAAAATAGAGAATTGTAAATATATTAGAACATATAAATATATATTATTTATAACATTAGCACATTTACATAACCTTATGTTATTTATTTATATAATCAGGAATACTGTGCAATATTATAAACGAAAAACACAAAATACTTTATAACAGGGTTCTGTTAAACAATAAATACGTATTTAAATTTTCTTGTTCTTCCCTTCCTCGTCTTTTTTAGGCTATAGGGGATTTCCTGGGTCAGGAGCTGGGACCGGAGGATTAATGCAAGCGGTAAAAGCCCTCCAGCACCGGGACGTGAACTCGTACTTATTTTATCAAATTAAGTCATTCATCGCTGGGCCCTAAACCCCATAATCAATGAATTTTTCAAAACTTGATCTTCTAGGTGCTCACATACTATTGAGAAGTTACTTAATCTTTTCTTTGTAAGTAACTCACCACGCTAACATCCCCTCCGTAAGTTGCATAATCTAATGCAGTCCGTCCATCGTTATCGCTGTCATTAATAGCCGCTCCTCGGTCAATGAGAATCTTCACCACTTCTAAATTGCCATTGAATGATGCTTCCATTAGGGGCGTGTGTCCGTAGAGTGACTTAACTGTTAGATTTGCTCCATATTCTAATAGTAAAGTCACCAAGCCAACTTGCCCTTGTCGTGCTGCATAATGTAAGGCGGTCCAACCATCATTATTCTTATCGTTGAGAGACGCTCCTCGGTCAATTAGAACCTTCACAACATCCAAATGGCCATTTACAGATGCTTCCATTAGTGGCGTCTGGCCGTTACCTGACCTAACTGTTAGATCTGCTCCACGTTCCAACAGTAACGTCAACACACTAACATGCCCTTGCCGTGCTGCATAATGTAAGGCAGTCCATTCGTCCTTATCCTTATCGTTGATAGGCGATCCTCTCTCAATTAGAAGCTTCACCACATCCAAACGACCAAAAATAGATGCTTCAATTAGTGGAGTCTGGCCGTTATCTGACCTAACAGACAGATCTGCTCCACGTTCCAACAGTAATGTCATCACACTAACTTGCCCTTGTCGTGCAGCATAATGTAAGGCGGTCCATCCACCATTATCCTTATCGTTGATAGGCGCTCCTCGGTCAATTAGAAGCTTCACTACATCCAAATGGCCATTAGCAGATGCTTCCATTAGTGGCGTCTGGCCGTTAACTGACCTAACTGTTAGAACTGCTTCGCGTTCCAACAGTAATCTCACCACGCAAACATGCCCTTGTCGTGCTGCATAATGTAAGGCAGTACTTTCGCCATTATCCTTATCGTTGACAGGTGACCCATTGTCAATTAGAACCTTCACCACATCTAAATGACCATTAAATGATGCTTCCATTAGTGGCGTGTGTCTATAAACTGACCTAACATTTAGCTTCGCTCCATGTTCCAACAGTAAAGACACCAAGCCCACATGCCCTTCTCGTGCTGCACGATGTAGTGCAGTCAAACCGTCCCCATCTTTATCGTTGATAGGCGCTCCTCGGTAAATGAGAAGCTTCACCACATCCAAATGGCCAGTAGCAGATGCTTCCATTAGTGGTGTCTTACCCGAACCTGATTTGGCTGTTATATCTGCTCCACGATCCAATAGTAAAGTTAACACTCCAACTTTTCCGTTTCCTGCTGCATCATGTAGTGCAGTCCATCCGCCCTCATCCTTTTCATTGATAGGCGCTCCACGGTCAATTAGAAGCTTTGCCACATCCGAATGGCCATTAATAGATGCTTCCATTAGTGGAGTCCTGCCCAAACCTGACTTAGCTGTTAGATCTGCTTCACGTTCCAACAGTAAAGTCGCCACGCCAACTTGCCCTTTTCGAGCCGCATAATGCAGAGGAGTGAATTTATCATTATCCCTTTCATCCACTTTTGCTCCGGTGTCCAACAACATTAATGCACAATCAATGCAGCCTCCTTCAGAGGCGAAGTGCAGCGCTGTCGCACCTTCTTTATTCTTGAGTGTTAGATCTGCACCGCTGTACAATAAATACTTAACAAGAATATTCATCTTAGATTTTGTCGCAGCCATTAGAGCAGTTTCATCGTGATTATCTTGTATGTCAACTCCTGCACCGTGTTTAACAAAAACTTTTAAGACATTCAGGTATCCTTTGGTCGAAGCTATGTGGAGAGCTGTTTCTCCCTTTCCTGTAGTAATATTGACATCCGCACCCATCTCCAGCAACGCCTCAACAACTGATGGATCAGTAGCGATGTGTATAGGAGCGAGACCATCCTTATTCCTGATGTTTAATGGCACTCTTTGAACTTTCAGTACTTTGAGCATTTCAGTTGCCTCTTTCGAACGAACTATCATGTGAACTAATGTGTCATTACTTTCGAATTGGAGATCTTGTAAAGTCCTACATTTTATTAATGCTGTGAACATATCAATATCAGATGACTCAACTGCCAAATGCAGAAGACTCTTCTCTTCTTTTGATATAAAAGAGCTATTACAACATCTTTCCTGTAGGATCTCCACCCCCTTGACATTTCCTACTTTGACAGCTAGCTGCAGTGAAGTATCGCCCAGGTGGTTCCTTAAGTCGGGTTTAAGTCCTGCCTCAAGTAACGTCTCCAATACTTCATTCTTGCCAGAAAAGGCGGCAATATGGAGGTAAGAGTTACCTCTGAGTAACTTTTTCTCAATTTTAGCACCAGCCAATATCAGTTCCTTGATAACTGGAACGCTGTCCATTATAACAGCTTCTTCCATAGGAGTTGCACCAGCGGCG